TCCTCCTCCTCCTCCTCCTCCTCCTCCTCATCATCTTCCCTCCTCCCCGTAGCCATTTTGGCTCGAGGGGCCTGCTCCTTGACTTCTAACCTCGCTCAAGCATTGGGCAAACAGGTCGTCATTGTGGCAACGTCTTGATGTTACTCTGGCCAGGGGTTCGCGACCCTACGTCGGCACTATCGTGCTCGACCTGTCTTCCAAGACGGCAAACATTCAGCCGTGCCGCCGCCCAAGGGGCGGAATCGTGGCGGTACCAAGTCGCCTGCGCCCAAGTCTCCTTCGCGCAGGACTGCACGATGTGCATGAAGCGCGGCTACCAGTGGTCGTACAAGAAGCGCCAAAGCTGCTTCAGCTGCGGCCATGCTCTACGTCCCGCTCCCTCGCCGCCGCCGCCGCCGCCGCGCGGCGTGTGGTCTCGCGATCGCCGTGGCGACGCCGATCGGGGAGCGCGTGGCGAGGGCGACTGGCGTGGTGGCGATGGCGACTGGCACGAGCGCTCTCGCCAGCGCCGTGGTGCCGCCGCACAGCCGCTGGGGCTATCCGAACTGGTCGAGTCGCTCGAGGGCCAGGCCACTTCCGATGCCCAGCGGGAGGCGCTCCAGCTGCTCGAGAAGGCCTTCGCCCCGCCCCCTCCCACCGAGCGCCCTGCGCTGGTGGAGGAGGGCATCCAGAGAGCAGCGGCCGCCGAGCGTGCGGCCAGGCGCTCCATTGAGAAGGCCACGAAGCAGCTCGCGGATGCAAGGCAGTGGCTCGCGGAGTGCCAGGCCAAGTCCGACGCTGCAGCGGACGAGCTTGTCCTGGCTGAGGTCAAGCTCGCCAACGAGAAGAAGGCGCTGCAGGCTCCCGCGCGGGAGCCTACCAGGCCCCCCGAAGGCCGCCCAGGAGAAGGGTCACATCGGCGCCATCAACTTGTCCGCGCTGCTGGAGGCGGACTCCACTGACTTCCACGTCGAGGATGGCCCGCTCTTCGACTTGGAGGGTCTCGAGGTGTCGTCCGCGCAGCTTCAGCAGTGCGACACGCCCAAGGCAAAGCTGGCGGCCTCGGTGCAGGAGGCGGTGCGCACCCACTTCGGCCCAGGGGCGGAGGCGCTCAAGGCCCAGCGGGAGCAGCTCGAGGAGCTCAAGGCTCTCCGCGCCACCTTCAAGAAGAGGAGGCGTGAGGCCGAGGCTGGGAGCGGCGGCCACCGCCCCAGCTGGTTCCCTTGCGCGGCCAGCGCAAGCGCGCCCAGAGGGGGAGCGGAGGCGGCCGCCACGGAGGCCGGCGACGCCACAGGCGCTGAGGCTGCTGCTCCTGCTGCTCAGTCGGCTGCTGCCCAGCGGGAGCTCATGGAGGCCCTGGCCCCAGGCCCGCCAGCGCAGGGCGGCGGCCGAGAGGAAGCCAGTGCCTTCCTAGCCTGCCCGGGGGCCCTCCATCGGGGCCGCCGGGGAGGAGGCCGCAGCACCCCCGCCGGGGCCTTCGCCTGCGGGTGCCGGGGAGGCCGCCGGCGACGCCCCGGGCTTCTCGAAAGGAGCGTCGGCCTCCGCTCCCCGCGAGGGTCGAAGCGGAAGTGCGGCTCCAGCTGCCGAGCCTCCACGTGAGCGGGGCAAGGGAGGTGCGCGGAACCCTGGTCTTGAGTGCATCGGGCTGAGTTGTCCGGCCTGGGCCCAGGGTGTGGACATGCTCGACGAGATGGCCCAGCGGGAGATGCTCGGCTCCATGCGCGTCATCGTCCTCGAGGAGCACGAGCTGCGCACGCCCATGTCTGGTGAGGTCGAAGCGGCCAGCTTCGACAGGCACTACACGGCGGCTCTGGTCCCTGCGATCACGGGGCCATGAGGAGGAGGAGCCTCGTCTGGGGTTGGCCTCATGGTCCCTCGGAACGTCGGCCTGACCCATCTCGACGGCATGGACAGCTACGACATCTCACCGCCGGGCTCCCCTGGGCGCGTCGCTGTGGGATGGTGCTCAGCTGGGCAGAAGGGCGGCCTGATGCTCCTCACTGGAATTTGTTTGACTCGAGAGGGTTGGACGATCCGCAACTTGTCCATCTTGGACTCCCTCGCCGCCGTGATCAAGTAGCACGATGCCCCATGGATTTTGCAAGCGGACTTCAATAACACCGGCGAGTCCTTGCTCAAGATTTGCTGGTGCGAGGATGCGCAGGGCGCCCTTCGGGTGCCGACGGGCAGCGCATGTTCTGGAGAGGGAGGCGGTAGTATCACCAATTTCTTCGTCCTGGACGCCCGTATCCAGCACGCCTTCGGCGCGGAGGTCGAGGTCCTGGACACCAGCGCCTCCCCTCATTCCCCCGTGCGTCTCACTATGCACTCCAGGATGCGAGCTAAAGGGGGCTGGGGGCTCGCTAAGCCGCGCCCGTTTTCCATGCGCAGGCCAGTTGGCCCATCTCCCTCCCCCGCGAGCTGGCTGGGCCCGAATCACCAGGATGCTCGACGAGGAAGCGCTCGCTAGCATATGGAGCAAGATTTCCGAGTGTGCTGAATCTGAGCTGGTGGGCATCCTGGGCCTCGAAGATCCTCCACCCTTCCTCGGACGCGGGGGTGCCCCTCGGTGGACGTGGGCTCCCCTTGGGGGCCCCCAAGCCCATGCGAGGCCCAGGGGGGCCCCTAGCTCCCGAGCTTGACGCTGGGTCACCGCCAGAGCTGGCGATTTCATTTTCCTCGCCCAGGCCGCCAGGACGGAAGGCTCATAGAATGCCACCCTTCCTCGTCGCACCATGCTCGAACGTCGCATCGAGGCAGGATACGTTAGTCTTCGCCACGATTTAGGAGAGCAGGCCGATTTTGTTTGCTCGCAGTTTGATCGTTTCCGGACTTCGGGATTGGAGGGCGAGGCCCTTTGGGGGCAGGCCCCCGAGATCATGGGCTTGCAGCGCCATGCTGTCGCCGCCGCTCAGGCTATTAAGCGTGAGCAGGGTTGGGGACGTCTCAAGGAGTGGCGCCAGCGGCTGAAGAAAAAGGTCGCCGCGGGTAGCTCTTCCATCCATGGGATCTGCATGTGGCGGTCCACCCCTCCTCCTGCGACGGGCTCCTCCTCGAACCTCGACCTTGCTGATCCTCAGACAGCGGCGGACGAAGCTGCCATGGAGTGGATCTCGCTCTGGAAATCCCATGGCCCCGACTGCTTGGGCCCTAAGGATCGCCCCTGGGAAAATGCAGCTTTTGAGCACCCGTTGATCCATTTGGACCGCGATCAGTTCACCAAAATCTGTCTGAACTTCCCTGAGCGCAACGGTGTAGGTGCGGACCACTGGCACCCCCGCTGGGGGGCCTGGCTCTCGGATGAAGGCATGGACTGCCTCATCCAGCTCGTCACGTGCATTTCTCGCGCGGGGGCCCTGGAGGGGGCTCCGAGGACGCTGCCTGGCACCAAGTGGTGCACGATGAAGGGGCTCAGGAGGGTGAGGTGTCGGCGACGGGAGGTCCTGGAACTGTCTCGGGCTTTCGAACACGTCACCATGGCGGCGCTGTGGGCGGTCGCCCCGCTTTGCGATTTTCCTGGCCCGTTAGCCAAGCTAATGATCAGTGTATGTATTTATATATATACACATCCACTAGGCTTGTTGCGTTTCGGGGCGTCCTCTCTCGGCACGCGGTGCGAACTTTTTCAACGGTCGTAGCCGGCTCGATCGGTGGCACGCGCGCTTTGAAGATGGTCGTGCTTCAGGTCACCGATGCTATGCACAGGAGTTGGGGCGCTCGCATACAGATGGTTGACGACCTCAACATAAATGTGCGTGGCACGCTCGCTTGTCTCGCCATCCTCCGTGCTGCCGTCACTTTTTACATCCAGCAGGTCGAGGGCACCTGGGGCATCTCTGCCTCTCGGGTGACCCGCCCTGGGGAGCGCGGCAAAGGCTACGTTCTCGCCGCGCAGATCTCGGCTAGACAAAGTTGTGCCGGATGGGCCAAGAGCTGGGGTCTTGCGGTGAATACCACCAGTACCCAGTTGAGGGTAGACAGCGCTGGAGGCGCGCCCGTGAGGATTCGAGCCAAAATGCAGCAGCGTTTACGATATGCTCAGAAGGGCCGCCGAAAATTAAAAGCCCTCTCCACGCAAGGGGCCCGCCTTGCCCGAGTGGTGAGACAAGGATTGATCCCGTCCGTGACCTACAGGTCTAGCTGCTTTGGTCTCTCCGGTTTCCCTAGAACGCATGCGGGTCATGGTCTCGGGCAGTCTCGGCAGCAATTCAATTGGTAGGGACCGTGTGCTGCGTCTCCAGACCCACCATACGGATACAGCAGTCGAGGCCTCGCAGAAGCCTATAACAATGTGGGCCTCGCAGGTCTGGCAAGGCAGCCACGATGAAGACATGTCCCGAGCGTGGCGACGGGCCATGGGACGATTTGCCGTTATGCGAAGCAGGGCTCGTGATCGTCCATGGACCCAGGTGCGGGGGCCAGCCTCAGCCTGCTCTTTAAGCCCTGAGCGGCTGGGGTGGACGTGGCCCAGCTGGCATACCATATCCACGCACACCGGGGAGCTCGTTGATATGAGACGAGTCTTACTCAGCACTTTACGCAAGTCTATATACCTCCGCCTGGAGGATCAGGAGCTCACGCATTGGGCTTCCCAGCGTGGCAGGCCGTTTCGCAAGCCATTTCTCGAGCCCTGCCGGGCCGCACTTCGATCCAAGAAAAATGGGCGAGGTCAGCGGCAGGCGGCCATGATGGCCTTCTTGGGAGGAGATTTTTGGACCCAGGACAAGGTTTGGCGAGCGGGGCACTCCGATGACCGCACTTGCCAGCGTTGCGGGCACGAGGTAGGAAACCAGCACCACAGATTTTGCAAGTGCCCTGCGTTCAGCGAGCGGGGTCGGGGTCCCTGGGCTCAAGGCGTTCGGTTGGGGGTTCTGCTTCCTGGACGAGCATGGCAATGTACGCAAGGCCATGCATGGCACGGCTCCTGGGGTTAGACAAGCGCAGAGTGTCCTGCGAGCGGAACTCACGGAATTCCTGCAGGTCCTGCGCCACGGCTCTGCCCCATTGCGAGTAGGTGTTGACAATGCCACGGGTCCACGGGTATCGCCGCGGCGCAGCCTGGTGCCGATAGGCACGCCGGCCCCACGCCGGCCTCTGGCACATGATTTGGAATGCGATCGAAGATTCATGCTCGGGGGATGGGGACCTGGAGGTGGTCAAAGTCAAGGCGCATTCTAAAAAGTCCTATGCTGAGCTGCTCGAGGGACTCGAGCGGTGCGATTACTTGGGCAATCAAGCGGCTGACCTCCAGGCGAAAGAGGGAGCCCGCTTGTGCCCGGTTCCTCAGCATCGCACGCATACCTGGGCTACGAGGTCCTCTGAGGTCTCTGCTATGCTCGGGCTGGTAGGCTCAATGACCGCTGCGATAGGTACTTTCGACGACACCACGGGCCGCTCCAAGAATGCCGCCCTGTCCCCTGGCCCTCATCCTCGGCGTGCCCCGCCCCCTCCTTTGGAGAGCCGGCATGTTTTGGGGTGGGCCCAGGGGTCTTGGCGGTGCCTCAAGTGTGCCAAGCGAGCGCATAGCGACAAGGCCAAGGCTGTGCTCTCGCATAAGTTTTGCCGTGGTGGATTTGTTTCCCATGGGCGCTGGAAGGAGGCTTCTCGCGTCGAGCAGGCTCCTTTGGAGGGGCCCCGTCAGCATAAGTTGTCTAGAATCGCCCACTACACGTTCTGTCGGGCATGTAGCTCCATTTTGAGCGCTCGTGCATGTGGTCTCCTCACGGCATGTCCCAAGGACCCCCGGGATCACAATGCCAGCACCAGACGGAACAGGTTAACTTTATTGGATGGCAAGCACCCTACGCGGTTGCCTGGAGAGGTGGTCGCGTTATCATGGTCCGAGGAGCTTGCATTTTTCGAGGCGATCGGCATTCCAGCGCAGTCTTCCCCGGCGGCTGCCTGCCCAGCGGAGCCAGGGCCTTCCCCTGGCGCTGCTAGCAGCAGTGCTGGGCCCATTGAATTTGGCTTTTTCGCAGGCAATCGCGAGTCACTCGCTTGTTCTGTACGCGCGGGAAGCAACCTCCTCCTCCTCCTCCTCCTCCTCCTCCGCCTCCTCCGCCTCCTCCGCACCTCCTCCTCCTCCTCCTCCTCCTCCTCCTCCTCCTCCTCCTCCTCCTCCTCCTCCTCCTCCTCCTCCTCCTCCTCCTCCTCCTCCTCCTCCTCCTCCCCCCCAATGCCCCCCTCTGCGCGCGGCCGGCTCCTGCGGGTCTTCTTCCTGGACTTCCCGAGCTCGAGCGCCAGCGAGAGCCTGGAGTCCTGGGGCCTGAGCCTCGGGTCCGGAGCCCTGCGCCCCGAGCCGCGGCCGCCGCCGTTCGCCTCCGACCAGGCCGCGCTGACGGTGGACGTGCTGCTGCTGCTGCAGTCGCCGCCGTCGTCGCCTCGGCGGCCGCAGCCGGGGGGTGCAAGCGATGACCACGACCAAGACTTGAACAGGAACCGACCGTCCCGGCATTCCTATGGGCCTACCGCGAGCTGTTCTCAGAAACCCACAATGGTCGAATAACAAGAGCAAGGTTCTTAGAACATGAGGCCGATGTGTTACTTAAGCCAAGACGGACTCGGCCAGACATGGTCTAAGAACATCTCGTGCAGACCACAAAAGGCTCTTGGAACAGTCTTTGGTGGGCCTACAGGCAAGCAGGCCAGGACGCTTCGGCACTGCTCGAAAGAGTGAACGCAGAAACATCGGTGTCGATCTCGGTCACCGCCCATCTTGGTGCATTCGCGGAGCATCCTGGCGAATCGGCGACGGACGGCATGGATCATGACCAAGATCGGCGGCGACTGGATCCCGCGCCGTCTTGGTCGTGGTCATTGCGCTTCCTCCCTCGAGGACAGGCGCAACGGGGGGGGGGGGCGGCGGCACTACGGTCGGGAACTCTTGCTGAGCGTGTCGCGGCGGCGGCCCCGGCGACACGCCATGCCCTGAAAGTGGATAGCGCGTCGCTACGCGCGGGCGTTCGCTACTTGGGGGCGATAGCTGGGGGGGGGGGAAGAAAGGTGCACCTTTCGTGCCCCTTCGGGGCCCTAGGGGGCTCGTTTAGGGCCCCTGTAGGGCCCGTTTCGTGCCACCCTCGACGCCCCCCCCCCTTTATCGCCCCCCCATTACCCAACGCCCAGTGCGCTCCGCGGGGCGGGGGGCCGGGAAACGCTCGGCACCTTGACACCCGGGAGCGGGGACGCGGACCGCGTGCCGCGCCGAAGCGTGGTGGGCCAGACCCGGCGGCCAGCGGCGCGCTGGCGGGGGGCAGGGGGAGGGGGGAAGGCTCCCGAGAAGGAGGGCTGCCTCTGAGAAGGAGCGGGCCCTGCACCTACCCTGAGATCGAGATCCGACGATGCCAACAAAAGTTGCAACATCGCAGCCCAGACGTGCGACGTCCTGATGTTTTCAGGGCGGCACCCCCGGAAGTCCAGACCCTTTCCCAAGGACGGGCTTTTCATCCTGAGTGGTTTTGTGACGGTCCCGGGGCCCGGTGAGGGCCCCCAAGGGGCCGAAAATGGTCAAGAACCTCCCGTCTTGATTTTTTTACGACGCGATCATGTCTGGGAAGAAATCACGCCCGGAGCCCTGGTTTTTCGAGCCCGATCGATCTGTGAGGGCCCCAGGACCCGAAGCGAGGCGAACGCGCCCGTTGAGAAAAAAATGGAAACGCCAGGAGCTCAGGGTGTAGAGGAGGCCCGCGCCTTCTGAGAGGCAAGGGTGCTTCTAAGAAGCCTTCCCCCCTCCCCCAGACCCCCCTCTGTTGAGCAGGGACCGACCGTCCCGGCACTCCCAGGAGCCTACCACGAAATCCTGCCAGAACCCAGAGATGTTCTTAGAACAGAAGCCATCTTCTCAGAACGTGAGCCCGACGTGCTTGAAGCGGGGCAGTCTCAGCCAGAGCTGTCCCGAGAGCCCTTCGTGCAGACCGCAGAAGGCTCCCGGAACACTCTCTGGTGGGCCTAGGCGGGCGAGCCAGGACGCCTCGCCGCTGCTCGACTCTGCGCGCGGCCGAGGCGGAGCGACCCGCCGAGCCGGGGGCCCTTCACCGCACGCGGCAGCGAGGGGCTCCCACCGCCCGCGCCCTCGGCGAGCCGCCCTGGCGAGTTAGAGGCCGCCTATCGATGGGGTCGGAGTAGACGTAGGTCGGGCCCGTCCCTCTACAGGAGGATCTGTTCAAAGGTAGTCCCAAAAAAGCCCGGGGACGATTTCGTGCAGATGTTTGAGCATTTGCGGGGTATTTGCTGACTATGCTTAAATTTTCGCCCAGAATCCGCCTATAGGGGGACATGCCCGACCTAAGGGTAGACGGGGTCGGAGGATCGCGCCGCGTCGCCGATACACCGGCGATGCACCGGCGACGCATCGACGATGCGCCGGCGATGCATCGCCGATACATCGGCGATGCCTCGGCGACGTCGACGTGGAGCAGACCGGGTTGCACATCGAGCCGGATCGGCGATGCAGCGGCGATGTGGCGCGATCCTCCGACCCCGCCCGTCTACTCGGACCCCGTCTGGGAGGCCTAGACGAAGGGGTGCACGCAGTGCCCGCCCCGGGGCCGCCCCGCCTCGGAGGCGGCCGGGGGGTCTGAGCTGGAAAAGCATTGGGGGAAAGAACCCTGAGATCCTGGCGCTGCCATTCCATCACAGCGGGCGTTTTCGCCTCTTTTCGGGCCCTGGGGCCCTCGCAGATGAATCCAGCTCGCAAAATGATGCAGAAAGATGGGGCATGGGGCTCCGGGCGTGATTTTTGTCCCAGACATGATCACGTCGTTAAAAAATCGGGACAGGAGGTTTTTGACAATTTTCGGCCCCTGGGGGCCCTCGCTGGGCCCTGGGACCATCAAAAAACCACTTAGGATGAAAAGCTGGTCCTTTGGAAAGGGTCTGGATTTCCAGGGACGCCGTCCTGAAAAAATCAGGACGTCGCACGTCTGGGCTGCGATGTTGCAATTTTTGCTGGCAACGTCGGATCTCAGGGAATGTCAATGGAGGCTGCACCACGGGATCCGGCCAGCAGGAAGGAGGGGCGCGAGTGGCCTCCAAGAGCCCTCAAGAACACCCCCACCTCCAGCCAGGAGGAGGAGGAGGCGGAGGAGGAGGAGGAGAAGGAGGAGGAGGAGGCCTCCCTCCGCCCCGATTCCCGATCCCTACGAGGTCGGGGGTGTGGACCCTGGCGGTGATGGGGGTGCGTTGTGCTGTCCTTCGTCAAGCAGGGGGGGATTGAGGGCAAATTCGCTCAGAATCGGTCCTGGAACCCCTCCTGGGGTCGAAGCTGAATCGCCTTTCGAGGCGAGCTCGGCCGCGGCGACGAGGGGGACTTTCACACCCTTCCTTTCTGCTGGTCGGAACCCGCGGAGGGGCCACCTCAGACCCCCAGCCGGCTCCAGGCCCAGACATCCCGCGAGGCACGGGCCCCCGACCTCGCGACCACTTCCCTGGGGCCGGGTGCTCATCCCGAATATATGTTCTTCTGGTAGCCCCGAGGCCCAGAAAGGGCCCCGAGGGGCCGAAGCCTATATGAAACACATGCGTCCGTCTCGACCTGCTCGAGGCGCCGGCTGCCTTAGAGCCCCGCCCCCTTCTGTGGAGGCCTCCTCGGTGGGGTCCGAGCTAGAGGATGGGGTCGGAGGATCGCGCCGCATCGGCAACGCATCGGCGATACATCGGCGATGCATCGAGCCGCATCGGCAACGCATCGGCGGCGCCAGCGCGGAGGACATGGCCACATCGAGCCGCATCGGCGACGCATCGGCGATGCGGCGTGACCCTGCGACCCCATCTGGGAGCTCCGCCCCATCTTGGGACGGGGATAATCCCATGATAATATTGGCTCAGGATACGCTCCAGGATTTCCAAAGAGTGCCTAGTGGCCCTCGTCTCTGCAGTCCGTATGAACACTAGGACACCCAGGTCACTCTGGAAATCCTGGAACTCCTGGAACGCAGCACTATCGTGACTTCTTACTCCTCTGCTGGCGGCGCGCACCAAAGGGGCAGAAGGAGGGGGGAAGGCTTCTTAGAAGGAGACTGCTTCTCATAAGGCGCTGGCCCTACATCTACAGATAAGGCCCGCGCCTTCTAAGAAGCAGCCCCCTCCTTCTAAGAAGCCTTACCCCCTCCCCCTGTCCAAGACGGCACCAGGACGAAATTAAAATCGGGTGAGGATTAATCGAGAATGTCTGAGATCCCGCGGCTCTGGAAGACGCCTCGGGCGCCGCGGCCTGCTCAGAGCGCTCCAGAACGCCCTGAGTGCGCCTGGGGACCCTCTGGAACGGATTGGTCCTCGTTCTACTCTGAGATCCGATGTGGCGCAACAAAAAATTGCAATATCGCAGAAAACCACGCCCGGAGCCCCGGACCTCATCGTTCTGCGCCAGTTTCCCGAGCTGGATCGATCCGTGACGGTCCCGGGGCTCGAACTGGAGCGACACCGCCCGCTGCGAAAAAGATGTGCAACGCCAGGGTCTGCGCGTAGTTCTGACTTCTGCCCCCATCCCGCGACCGCCGCAGAAGGTCACGCGCGGGCCCAGCTCCTCCGGGAGGACAACGAAAGGGGGGGGGCACTGGCATGGGGGGATGCATCGACCTGGAATCGGCGGTACATCGGTGACTGATCGGCGATGCGGTGGGGGTGTTGGTGAAGGAATGTGCCCACGAGGCTTCGGACCCTGGGGGATTCCTTATCCCATGAGGGCGGCGGTAATATCCATGGCCAGTTCACGATTGGAGCCCCACTGGCTTCCAAACCCTGGATTCCTTATTCAATGGCTCCTTATCCAACGCCCTCACCGCAGGCCCCCGACAGTGAATCCGAACCTTCCTGGGCATGCTGGGTCTATCGGGCCCGTTATCGGCGTCAGTGGGCGATTGGGGGTCGATGCGTCCCCCCCCTATGCCTATCCCTGCACGGCTTCCCCCGGGGCTGCGGGCGACCCGAGGAGGAGGAGGAGGGGGAGGAGGAGGAGGAGGGGGAGGAGGAGGGAGGAGGAGGGAGGAGAAGGAGGAGGAGAGAGGAGGAGGAGGAGGAGGGAGGAGGAGGAGGAGGAGGGGGAGGGGGAGAGGGAGCAAGAGGGAGGGGAGGGGAGAGGGGGCAGGAGGGGAGGAGGAGGAGGAGGAGGAGGAGGAGAGGAGGAGGAGGAGGAGGAGGAGGCGGAGGAGGAGGAGGAGGGAGGAGGAGGAGGAGGGAGGAGGAGGAGGAGGAGAGGAGGAGGAGGAGGATGCAGGAGGAGGGAGGAGGAGGAGGAGGAGGAGGAGGAGGAGGAGGTGAGGAGGAGGAGGAGGGAGGAGGAGGAGGAGGAGGAGGAGGAGGGGAGAAGGAGGAGGAGGAGGAGGAGGAGAGAGGAGAGGAGATGAGGAGGGATGAGGAGGAGGAGTGGGAGGAGGAGGAGGAGGAGGAGGAGGAGGAGGAGAAGGAGGAGGAAGATGCAGGAGGAGGAGGAGGAGGAGGGAGGACGAGGAGGAGGGAGGAGGAGAGAGGAGGAGAGAGGAGGACGGGTCGCCTGAGCCCTTCGGAGAAACCCTCCAGCCTATTCCCCTCTGTCGTTGCCCCCTGACCTCCGAGCGCTCGCTCCCCGCGGCGGCCCGCAGGCCCGCGCGCCCCGCCCGGGGCCCCTCGCCGCACGGTGCCTCACGGGTGAGTGGCGGGGCGGGTACGGCGTCGGCGGCGTCGTCGTCGTAGTCGTGATCGTCGGCATCGTCGTGGTTGGCGTCGTCGTCGTCGTCGTCGTCGTCGTCGTCGTCGTCGTCGTCGTCGTCTCCCAAGTCTGCATCTCCTCGACTGTGTCGGGGGCGGGGCGGAGCCCAGACCCCTTCGAGTCCTGAAAAGCATCCCAGTGCGACCCTACCTAGGAGTTGGAGCATTTAGGAAAGCAACATCTACATCTACACCGACAGCTACATTTACATCTACACCTGCATCTACATCTACATCAACATCAACAGCGAGACTCACATCTACATCTACATCTACATCTACATCTACATCTACATCTACATCTACATCTACATCTACATCTACATCTACATCTACAAATACATCTACCCCTACATTTACATCTACATCTACACCTACATCCACATCTACACCTACACCTACTTCTACATCTACACTTTCGCATTGGTTTTGCTTTTGCTTTGCATTGCCTTTGCTTTTGCTCTTGCCTTTGATTTTGCCTTTGCCTTTGCTTTTGCTTTTGATGTTGCGTGTGCTTTTCTTTTGTTTTTGCTTTTGCTTGATTTTGTTTTTGCGTTGCCTGCGCACAGACACACGCACGCATGTTCTCGCAAGGCCTCCAGACTTGAGCCGAAATGGCTACGGAAAGCACTGCTTGCGGGGGCTCCGGTCCGGCCATCGAGGCTAGCTCGGCATCTGTCGCACATTGCTTTTGCTTTGCCTTTCCTTTGCTTTGCTTTTGCTTTTGCTTTGCTTTGCTTTGTGTTGCTTGTGCTTTGCTTTGCTGTCGCTGCTGTTGCTTTGCCTTTGCTTTGCTGCTGTGCGATGCTATGATCTGCTATGCTATGCTATGCTATGCTATGTTATGCTGCGCGGTGCTATGCTGTGCTGTGCTGTGCTGCGCTATGCTATGCTATGCTGCGCTATGCTATGCTATGCGATGCTATGCTATCTTATGCTGTGCTGCGCTATGCTGTGCTACGCTCTGCTATGTTATGCTGTGCTGTGCTATGCTAAAGCTCGGAGAAACTAAGATGAAGGTAAGCTAAGCTAAGATAAACCTGAGCTAAGATGAAACTAAGCTAAGCTAAGATGAAATAGGCCAAGCTAAGATGAGAGAAACAACGCTAAGCTAAGGGGACGTCACTGGGGGAACCACGGGGCGGATGCAGGGGGAACCGCCCAGGGCGAGGAACACTGCCCGGCCCCTTAAGCTCACAGGGTAAGAACCCTTCTAGGCAGAGCCTAGGTAGGGAACATTACGTCGGATGGTTTGTCTTGATTTGCGGCCTCTGGGGGCCCTTACCGGGCCGCCCGCCTCGGACCTTCAAACAACTATTTGGGACGAAAGGCCTGTCCCCGGGGAAAGTTCTGAAAACAGGACATGACGTGGGCGGGGGGGAGGCTCTGGGAAGCCCGGACGGTCTTCAGGAAGGGCGGGTCGTCTTCGAACTGCGGCTCTCTCGGCTCAGCGCCGCGCGCACTCGTCAAGTCCGCGGGCGCCAAATGGTCCAGGACAACCAGACGACTGTCACGCAAGCGGTGGGGGGCACCGGAAGCGAATAGAGGCGCGAGGGCGAAGGAGAACGGAGCGCCGCGCACGCTCGTTTCTGCAGCTTGCATCAGCTTCAAGGATGTACAGCGGGCCGCCCTGGAAATGTGGTTCGCTCCTGGTGCTTCTTCCCCTGGCGCTTCTTCTTCGCCTCCTCCTCCTCCTCCTCCTCTTCCTCCTCCTCCTCCTCCTCCTCCTCCTCCTCCTCCTCAGCCCATTCAGCACACCCCTTTTGCTGGGCATACCTGTCACCGTAACTACATGCATACTCGCGCACATGGCATTCGGGTGGTGAGCACTCGCTTTTCACTCGCACGTGCATCATGGTCGCTCACACGTTCTCCGTCTCCTCCTATAACTGTCTCAGCATGCAGCAGAGCGATCGGTTCTACGACATCTGCCGCACGCTTCGCACGAGCGTCATACTTATTCAAGGCACACGACGTCGCATCCATGATCAAAACCCATGCGATACACATACGTCTTCGGAATACCATCAGTTTCATTTTGGTTATCATTCTAAACAAGGCAATGCACATACTGGAGTTACTATTGCGATTTCGTCTCAGAGGTTCTCGAGATCAAATATAATCTCCGTTTCACATCCCAAGCAGCAATATCTCTGGGGACGCGGTGGGGCTATTCGATGTAAAAACCAGCAGTCCGACTTTACATTCATCTCGGCTTACCTCCCCCCGAACACGGACTCCGCCCGAAGTCGTAGAGACTATCAAAAAACGCTGGCGTGGCTGGAAGAACTATATTCATCGTTCTCATCTCGAACGTTACCAGTCTTGGGCATCGACTCCAATGAGCACATTGGGCTCCTCAGGACCCCCGCGGGCCCCACACCTACTGATGATTTTTGCACTGGGCCCTTCAATCGCAGCTTGCAACAGCCTCGGACCCATCAGTTTATAGCATTCCTTCTCAAGCATGACTTGATATTGCTCAACACGTTTTACCCGACCTCCCCGACTTACTACCATGGAGTATCAGGTTCGACCAGTCACATTGATTTCATTATTATTCCTCGCAGTTTCTACCTCGCGCAGCATGTGGCCAAATGTCAGGTTCTTAGATCCCTTGGCGACCGTCTTCAGCTCGTACCTGATAGCCGACGAGTCGATCATCATCCAGTATATGCACTCCTCGAGCACAATCTACGCTATGACGGGTCCGAAGCAGATCAACATGTACGCTGGGATTTTGATAAGCTTGTTCAATCCGTCATGCAGGGCGCTCAGCGTCAGGATTTTCTCATTGATCTTGATAAGTGGGCTGAAGATCACTCTGTAGAATTAAATAACGTTGCAACAAAGAGCTCATCCGAGCAATGGGAGCTACTTATCGAGCATGGTCTTCTCCCTATCGCAGCTAAACATTTTCAAAGACAGACGTCCATGGCTGGACCCTACTCACGAGAACGCCAGGACCTCCTACGCCGACGACGTGAGTTACGAGTACAATGCTTACAAGCTCCTAAGCTATCTTCACATGACATAGTCTTTCACGCATTTCAGCAATGGCATAATCTCTCTCGGTTACTTCAAGTTAATCGCAGCATTCGTCGCCTACATGCTATTCGTACCAATACGCTGAACGAACAACGACGTGTCGAGCTTCAAGAGGCTTGGCGCGCTCGCATATTAGCAGAAGCATGGCATCTCGCTCGACTTCTCATAGGCAAACGTATTGTCCGCCGTCTTAGAAATTACCACAAAGCCGCTCTTCGTCGTCGCTCAGAAGCCGAATGGTTTGACAAACTTTCTCCCCCTGGCTCGCAGGGGGGATGGAATTGCATTCGCTTGCCCATCGCTCAAGTTCGACAAGAATGTTTCGACGATCATGATGCATCTGTTCATGTTAGCTATCAATGCCATTTACTTGGGGAATACGACTTAAAATAAACTAGCTGGTGGATTCGAACAAGTTCTAACCGACGTTCACCTCCGTCTTGGGACGTACCGAACGAAGTCTGGAACATGGTCCTTTGGTTCCAAGCAGTATATACGCCAGAATCACACGGAATCGGACACGACGCTGCACTTTACGAGCCGCAGTTGTTTCTCAAACGTCTACAACGGGTTCTTGATATGATTCGGGCTACTGGACATAGCCCTTACCAATTTCATCGCAGTCAAGGGTTTCAGATCCCCAAGAAAGACGACGTTCGCATTGTTCACAGCGTTTCATCTTTTTCTAAGGCATATCATAAAGGTCCCCTTCGACGACGCGGCAAACCTCATCGGCCCCCCCACATCGCGCGTTCGCAGTGCCAGGCCGACGCCGAGAGGAGGCCATACTTATCAAAATGCTAGCGTCTCATCGCTGCTCCAAACATGGCCTTAGTATTGCGAATCATCACTATGACGTGGTCAACGCATTCGCCTCCCCGTCGCACGACATCATGGATCAAGCTACTCAGTACCTCATGTTACCTCAACCTGATGATGACATAGAAGATGACGCGGACGACGATACCCCAGCACACGTTGCAGAACAGGACGAACGCCTACTGCGTCAACATCGTCGGCATTCTACGTGTGTGCTACAGACATCGGATGTTCCTGCCGAGTTTTACCCTCGCAGTGGTACCTTTCAGGGCAACAGCGTTGCGACGAGCGAGTTTCACATGCCGTACTGGCAGGCTGTGCAAGCTTGGGGAAAAAACTCAAGATGCTCACTTGCTCGTTCCATCGCCGTTGAATTCTGCCGTCGTTGACTTGTATATCACGTCCTTCGTCGACGATCTCTGTAAGCAGTACACTATTACTACACCTAAGAGCTTATATGACACACAAGCACAGCACGACCATATCCTCAACACCATATTCGCGGACTACACGATCGCACAGCACACGGGCAAGAGCGAGTCCACAGTTCATTTTGTCGAAGCGCGTGCACATGCTCATCAGCGTACCGCTCATGCACAGCAGCTCCAATGCAAAGTACTGAGTGCCGCTTGGGCCCTATCTACATTATCGCAATTGCTTTTACGTCGAGCGCAACTTACGCATTCAGGCGGCAAACAAAGCATGGTTTATATTCAAACGATTCTGGTTTACTAAGACTGACCTTCGGTTTCGCGTTCTAGTATTTCGTTGCACTGTATGGTCTGCACTACTATCAGGGCTCACCGCATTCGTTCTCACTGAACACGACTACACGATTTTCGACAAGTATATACTATACAAAGGGCGCAAACTGATGAAAGGCAAAGCTACGTTAAAGACTACCCTCATCGACGGCACGGTCAAATATAAATATAAACCTATCCCCACGATCGAGGTATGGAGAAATATCGGCATGGCAGACACGATCACTGAGCTTCGCATCCAGAGGCTAAAATGGTTCCAAAAAATACGCAGCCGCCCTCTTCATCATCAGCTATATATAACTGCTATGTTCGGTCGCTTCCCTCATGATTCTCCCGACGCTGTGATTTCTCATCCGTGGCTGGCGCAGTTGACCACAGATATACAGGAGTTGTCTCTGTTGGAGTGCGCATACTTTCTCGACGGCGTTGCTCCATGGCAGCTCGTAGTGCATGGCACGCTTCAGGAAGACTTTGTAGAGATTGACGTGTCCGAGTTGCGTGCTAAGTTCCTTTCCGTCAACATCCCTCCTTCTCATCACGAATACGACACGCTTAATCCTCATGCGTCATCATGTTCATTACCTACTGGCGAGTATTATTGTGGTCTCATGCGCACTGATGGTAACATATGTACACTTTACGTTTCCTACCATGAAGGCTCTTAGACTCCATCGCGCACGTGAACAGAGCATGCACGGCATGATTACTCTCGCCTCTATCGTTATGGAAGCTGTATGTCCATGGTGCTCTACACACTTTTCTACACGCAAAATCGCACAAGATCATGCACGACGTAGCTGGCATTACGGTAGGTGTATTGTTGATCAAAGCTTTATACCCACGCCTCCTATTGTGTCCGACACCACCTACACGTGCGCCATATGTAAGCTCTACGGGTACAATTACGAGTGCGACGACATATATGTGTACAATCATCATATCCGTACCCAACATCTATCTGGTCCAAGACGACTTGAGTTTTCCAAGGCAGATACCTCATCCACATTCTTTCCGCAGATTGCGGCACCCAGCCCCAATGGACCTCGGATTGGCGACGGGCTCCTCCAGGCCAGTGGCGAAAGACCGTCGCAAAGGTGCAAGTCAGCACGACCTTCAGGCGTTGGTTCTTCTCATAGCAAAGTTAACCCTCAGTACTGCTATGTCGTCACGGATTCTACGGGCAATCGTGTTGGAAAACTATCAGGTGAGCGAGAGCTCCGAGTACTTCATCCAGGGGAAGAATTCTACCGAGAGTTATGCGGAGGCAGCGAAGCAGTTCAGCAGGGACCAGAAGCAGCAGAAGATTGCGAACCTGGCACATCCTCACGTTCATGTTTGGAACGCTTGGATCGTGGTGGCAAAGACCAAACTTGGAGAGAAGGAGCTGGAACCACCGATGCTGGACTCCCTGCAGCAGTACATCGACAAGATGAAGAACAATCAACCCGAGAAGGCCACATACCTACACAATCTCATGAAGGAAGTTCGTTACGCCAGATGCTGCAAGACATACGACAGCAAGCTCAAGCGCCTCGAGATCAACGTAATACCTGGCAGCAACAGCGAGAAAGTGCTGAACCAGATTCTGGTACCATTGTGGATTCGCGACAAAGCAGTGAAGCTCGAGGGCGTGGCGCCGCCAGGAGACCTCGAGCGCAGGATCCAGCAGGCAATCGACGAGATGGACACATGAGGCCAGCTCGTGATTCAGATAGAGCTCTTTCTGTGCCTGATCTTCCAGGCCCCTGCCGCCGCCTGCCGAGAGACGGTTCTCCCCCCCCCCCCCCTCGTCCTCGTCCTCGTCCTCCCTCCCCCTCCCCTCCTCCTGTCCTCAGTGTGTCCGACGGCGCTCGTTTGTCGTCACGGTTTCAGGCAGCCCGATTGCAATTCGAGCGATCCAAATCGAGATCCCAGGGATAAGACTCATGGTGCACTCGTGCTACAGGTACGAGTGCACGGCGTTCGCGGCCCTTCATGCTTCGTGCTGATTCGGGCTTGCGTGCACTGTCGTCGGTGGGCCCTGCTCGTGTCACCCCCTCTACAGTCGCGCGTCTCTGAGCGTATGAGCCCCTGTGCAAGTCCATTCGGCCAGGCTGATTCGACAGGTCATCGAACGATCGCTCTTGTGAGTTGTTATTATTATTACCTCCTCCTCCTCTTCCTCCTCCTCCTCCTCCTCCTCCTGGACTCCTGCTCCTCGTACTCCTCGTACTCCTCCCGCTCCTCCTGCTCCTCCTCCTCCTCTCCTCCTCCTCCTCCTCCTCCTCCTCTCTTCCTCCTCCTCCTCCTCCTCCTCCTCCTCCTCCTCCTCCTCCTGCTCCTCCTGGCTCCTGGCTCCTGGCTCCCTCCTTCCCTGCTCCCGCTCCCCAGGACCTCAGACGTTGGCGCTGTGTTCACGGCGTGGGCCCCCGGACCTCTCGACCGCCTCCCTGGGGCCAGCCTCCCCTTGTCGAGCAGCTCTGTTCACGGCCCCGGGGCCCTGTAAGGGCCCCAGACCCCCTCGAGCAATGAAAAAATCATGACGGGAAGTTTTTCGCCATTTTCGGCATCTGGGGGCCCTCGCCGGGCCTCGGGACCGCCAGAAAACGATTCAGGATAAGAAACCGGTCCCGGGGAATGGATCGAGACCTCTGGGGGACCCCGTATTGAAAAAATCATGACGTCGGGAGTCTGGGGAGGCCACGACTGCAGAACAACCTCCCGCCGCGGGTGTTTTCCTCGCGAGCGAGGAGAGGAACCCAGGCGTCCGGCTGCTCCAAGAGCTTCGATGCGTGGGCCCCGGAGGTCTGGACCACTTCCCTAGAGGGCCGGCTTTCTCGTCCCGGATGATGTTTTGGGCGGTCCCGATGCCCAGGAAGGGCCCCCAGAGGTTGATAACCGCTTCAAAACGCACGCTCCGATTTTTGGGAGCGTCGGATCGCTGGGAAGCCTGGGTCCCGCTCGTCCTCCCGCCTCCTCCACGCTGCCGGCAGGGGGCCCCAGCCGGCGAGTTTGGAGCCTCCGGGGGCCAGGCCTCGCCCTGGCCAGTGGCGGCAGACCCCCACGCCCGGCTGACCAGGCCAGGGAGCTCCATCGCCTGCCGAGGGCGCGGGCGGCATCTCCGGGGGGGACGTCAGGATCGTATGACCAACTGAGGCTCGTGGACAGCCTGCAGCAGTCAGCAACAAGGAGAGAATCGAGCGCAACGCAAGATCACTGAGGGAAGGGGGAGGCAGGGAGGCGAGGGGAGGCTGGAGGCTGCGCCTGTAGCGACCCAGGGGGGACGGCGAGGAGGAGGGGGAGGAGGGGGAGAAGGTGAGGAGGAGGAGGAGGAGGAGGAGGAGGAAAAGGAAAAGGAGGAGGAGGAGGAGGAGGAGGAGGAGGAGGGGGGGAAGGAGGTGAGAAAAAGGGCGAGGGAGGAGGAGGAGGAGGAGGAGGAGGAGGAGGAGGAGGAGGAGGAGGAGGAGGAGGAGGAGGAGGAGGAGGAGGGGAGAAGGAAGGAAGGAGGAGGAGGAGAGGCGGAGGTGGAGGAGGAGGAGAGGAGGAGGAGAGGAGGGAGGGAGGAGGAGGAGGAGGAGGAGGAGGAGGCGGAGGAGGAGGCGGAGGAGTAGGAGGAGGAGGAGGAGAGGGAGGAGGAGGAGGAGGAGGAGGAGGTGGAGGGGGAGGAGGGGGAGGAGGGAGGAGGGGAGGAGGAGGAGGAGGAGGAGGAGGAGGAGGAGGAGGAGGAGGAGGAGAGGAGGAGGAGGTAGGGTAGGAGTAGGAGTAGGAGTAGGAGTCAAGCTAGCCAGCTCGAGCGAGTCAAGCATGGCATGCCCAGTCCCACCCGCCCTCACACAACATAAGAAGCAAAGCTGGCACAACTTGGGGCCGAAGTCACACCGGCCAGCCGGTTTGGTACAGCTGATGCGGCCGCGATGGCGGTTGCCGACGGGAACTGGCGAGCGCATGTTGAATGCCGCGCATGCATTGCCAGACGAGTCGAGGGCCCGGTACACCGCAGGAAGCCAGAGGTGGCCGGAGGAAGCCCGACGGTCTGACAGGACACCCCAAGGGGGCCCAGGAGGCCCCAAGAGGCAGGAGTAGTAGTACCAGTGGTAGTGGTGTTGGTAGTGGTAGTGGTAGTAGTAGTAGTAGTAGTAGTAGTAGTAGTAGTAGTAGTAGTAGTAGTAGTAGTAGTAGTAGTAGTAGTCGTCGTAGTAGTCGTAGTAGTAGTGGTAGTAGTAGTAGTAGTAGTAGTAGTAGTTAGTAGTAGTAGTTAGGTAGTAGTAGTTAGGTAGTAGTAGTTAGGTAGTAGTAGTAGTGTA